ATTTAAATCCAGTTTACTGATGGACGATGAAATATATATATATATATACTATATATACACTGCAAAATATTCAAAGAGACTTCAATATATGTACTTGAAGCGCAAATATAATTTATGAGAGTTTTTTTTAAATAAATTATTATATTAAATAATTAATTAAATAAATAAAAATATTTATAATATTAGTATTTATTAATATATTATTATTATTTTATTATTATTATTATTATTAATTTATATGTAGGTATTTATAATTAATAATCCCACCCTCACCTCACCCCCCTCAAATTTTCTAAATGAAAAGGGGTTGAAATTTTTTTTGTACTGATTATTTTTTTATTTTAAAAATATAAAAGGTAGTTTAAAATGAATTTAGAATTTTTGATAAAATTGACTTGGATAACATATATATATATATATGTATATAACATGAGAGGAAGTTTTGCGCAAGTGCAGAAAGTAGAAATACCTCGATCGATCCTGGTCCTAATCCCAGTTGTGCTGTTCTCTCTCTCTCTCTCTCTCTCTCTCTCTCTCTCCACATAGTTTCCGTACATTAATAGCTTTTTGTATAAAAATAAATTTTTAATTTACGACTCTTCTTTGTTTTCAATTATTAAAAAATAAAAAAAGTAGAGTACACCTATACGAAGAAAAAAGAACCCAATGGAGTACGCTCAAATAATTAATTTAAATTTTCATCATTTCCATATATATGTTACACCAAAAAAACTTCACTTACAAAAATTCCCTTTTTTATTAGTTAATTTTGTTATTTTATTAATTATTATTATTATTATTATTATTACTATTATTATATTATTTATAATAATAATAATAATTTAAAAAAAAATAATAATTATAATGATAATGATATCAAATAATAAATAAATATAATAATAAAATTAATTAATAAAAAAAAAGAAAAATTTTGTCCCAAAAAAATTTTAATGTATGATTTTTTTTTTTCGTTTGTTACATAGTTCTTTTTAAGAAAAAAATCATAATTGAACAGAGAAAATAAATTTTGTTTTTAAAGTCTAATGACGTCAATTGACGAACTTAGTCGCGTCAATAAAAAGTGAATTTAATTATACGTGAAATTCGTTTGAGGGAATGATAATAAGAAAAAAAAAATATTATAATAGTCTAATTTCTGTATTTCAATAAACGAAGCAAAATATAACAGGAAAACGAATATATACATATATATATATATTATATGAAAAATATTTTTTTTGAAAGAAAAGTAACTATTTTATTCCCCTAGTTTTAAAAGATCCCATTTTTTTACATATCAATGAAGAAATTAATTTTTTTTTAAAATAGTTAAAAAAAAATTTTTTTTTTCTATATAAAAAATGTTTTATATAATTTTTTTTAAATATCATATTCTATTTTTGTCTTATGTGACGTAAAATGAAAATTTTTGTTTTATTGCTAAATATATATATATATATATATATATATAACAAAACATTTTACATAAGTTTCAGATATGATTGTTTTATGTAACAAATGTCAAAATAAATTATAAAGTAAATTTATGTCTACATGTGTTATTTTTAATTTTTAAATTATGCGTAAAAGTGAAGTTTTTTTTTTTTTTTAATTAATAATATCCTAAGAAAATTTTTCTGAATTTTATATATTAAAATTTTTTTTTCTTCAAATTAATATATTAAAAAGAAAAAAAAAATTAATTAGTCACGCCTCACTCACCTGAGTTAGGCCATCTAAGCTTAATTTTTTTAAGGTTATGTTCGTATTTTAACTCTCAATTGTGATTTAATTTTAAGGTTATGTTTACTGATTTTAACCTCAAAAAATACACAAAACTTCTTTTTGATCTAAAAACTTTACGTTTCTTTTTTTTAAATTTCACCTTAAATTTTTTACGTTATATTTGCCCTTTGGACCCTAAAAATTCATACTATTTTGAGGTTATGTTTGTCAATTTTAATCTTAAATCCAGCGTTTCATTGGTTCTGTATTTTTTTTTTTTTTAGTATTTTAACCCTGTTTTGCTGTTTGGCCTAATTTTAAGATTAAATTTAAAAATATCAATTTATACTTATGACGCATTTAGGTTAAGAGGATAACGATAGATTTGATTTGAGGTTGAAATCGGCTAACATAACCTTAAAATTAGGTTTAATTTATAGGGCAAGAGGCCGTTAGAAGTTATACAAAATATAAGAGCTTAAAAATACTAACAAAATCTAAAACCAATAAATTCTAAAAATAAAGGTTAAAAGTAACTTATATACAAAAATCAAAATGACGCAAGAGTAACAAAAGTAACAAAAAGTAACTTTCCCAACAGCAATAAGTACCTTTTCTCAATTTTAACAAATATAAAAAGTAACAAAACCAAAGTAACAGAATTAACAAATAGTATACCTTTTACAATAAAAAGTAAATTTCATCAATTTTAACGAATAACATAGAAGTAACTTTTTTACAAGAAAAAGTAACTTTTATCAAATTTAACGAACATAAAAAGTAACTTTTTTACACAAAAAAGTAACTTTTATCAATTTTAAAGAACATAAAAAGTAACTTTTATCAATTTTAATGAACATAAAAGTAACAAAACCAAAGCAACAAAAGGTAACTTTTACAACAAAAAGTAACAAAACCAAAGCAACAAAAGGTAACTTTTTCAACAAAAAGTAACTTTTATGAATTTTAAAGAATATAAAAAGTAACAAAACCAAAGCAACAAAAGGTAACTTTTACAACAAAAAGTAACAAAACCAAAGCAACAAAAGGTAACTTTTTCAACAAAAAGTAACTTTTATCAATTTTAAAGGACATAAAAAGTAACTTTTATCAATTTTAATGAACATAAAAAGTAACAAAACCAAAGCAAAAAAAGGTAACTTTTTCAACAAAAAGTAACTTTTATCAATTTTAAAGAACATAAAAAGTAACAAAACCGCAGCAATAAAAGTACCAATAGTAAGTTTTACAAAAATCTAAACATAAAAATAACAAAAGTAACAAAAAACAACTTTATTTATTTTTTTTTATTTTATAAAATGTTACATGTTATAATGTTAATATCTAATTTTTTTCTTTTTCTCTCTTTTGTGAAAAAAAGAGAAAAAAGTGAAATTGCAAATTTCATAATATGTTTCATAATTCCGATGAAAAATGCTACGGTTGTATTATAAGACACATTATATAGAATTCTAAATGTGAGGTGAGTTTCTCGAATGGATTTTAAAGAGAAAGAGTGAAGCCATATTCGCTTCGATCGCTAATTCATATTTCATATTGCTTAGTACTGTCTATAAGTCGTACACCTCTCTCTTCACTATTTTATATATATATATATATATTTGAACACACATATAGAAATTTATATATATATATATATATAAGAATAATAAGAAGCGACAATGCATTGTCGACTCAATTTTATATTCAAAAATGAGATGGACGTATTCAACATAGATTATCATTGACTACCGACTATCGTGGCGCGTATACGCGATATGTCTGCGAAATAATCGACTCCAAAGCCTTTACCTTCAATGTCAATTCTTGAATGCAAAAATACTTCTTTAGCTTTAATGTTTTAAATTTAGACGTCTCATGGTCTATCGGCATATTATTTTAACCTTGAAATAATTTAAAAACAATTTTTTTTTCTTAATTGTCTCATATTCTATTCTTTTTATTCTATTTAACGATACTTTATTTTAAAATATTGTTTTCTTTATATTTTATTTTAAAGTTTTTAAATTTTTTTTTTCTTTGTACGTAATTTTTTCTATTTTTTTTTTAAATTTTGATATTTATTTTGTAAATGTTACTTCTGTTACTTTTGTTACTTTTGTTACTTCTGTTACTTTTGTTACTTTTGTTACTTTTGTTACTTTTGTTACTTTTGTTACTTTTGTTACTTTTGTTACTTTTGTTACTTTTGTTACTTTTGTTACTTTTGTTACTTTTGTTACTTTTGTTACTTTTGTTACTTTTGTTACTTTTGTTACTTTTGTTACTTTTGTTACTTCTGTTACTTTTGTTACTTTTATGTCATTAAAGATTTTTGTTGCAAAAGTTACTTTTTGATGTGCAAGTTACTTTTTGTGTTACTTTTGTTGCTTTTATTACTTTTGTTACTTCTATGTCATTTATATTTCAGTAATTTATTTTTTGTTACAAAAGTTACTTCTCGCTGTTAAAGGTATTTTTGTTTCTTTTGTTGCTTTAATTACTTTTTTGTCATTTAAATTCGGGTAAAATTAACTTTTGGTTGTAATAGTTATTTTTCGCTGTAAAAGTAACTATTTTTGTTACTTTTATTGCTTTTATTACTTTTATGTCATTTAGAATCTAGTAAAACTTACTTTTCGTTTTAAAAGTTACTTTTTGTTACTTTCGTTACATTTTGTTACTTTTATGCCATATAGATTTTTAGTAAAAGTTACTTTTCGCAGTACAAGTTACATTTATATCACTGATATTTTAGTAAAAGTTTTTTTTTGTTGCAAAAGTAACTTTGTGTGTTATTTTTGTTGCTTTTTGTTACTTTTATGCCATTTAAATTTTAGTTAAAGTTATTTTTTTGTTGCAAAAGTAACTTTGTGTGTTATTTTTGTTGCTTTTTGTTACTTTTATGCCATTTAGATTTTAGTAAAAGTTACTTTTTGTTGTTTATGTTTTGCTACTTTTATGTCAATTAAAACTTTTAAAAAAAGTTACTTTTTATGTTACTTTTGCACATTTAGTGATTTAGTAAAATTTAGTTTTAAAGTTACTTTTGTTACTTTTGTCATTTAACAGTTATTTAGTAAAATTATATTTAAAAGTTTGCTTTTCTTGTTACTCTTGATGTTACTATTGCCGTTACTTTTCCAATTATTTTTATCTGATTTCAATATCATAAAAATTTATTTATATAGTAATTGTAATAACAAAAAAATAACAAAACAAAAAATTTATAATTATAAATAATCATTTTCTGTTTTTTTTTTTTGCTGTTTCAGACAAAAGAGACCGCAACAACAACAACAACAGCAACAACAACAACAACATCAACAAAATTATCAAGCCACTTGGCACACGACCACATTTGCCTCCTGACCGTTGCGATTTTGACCCGGATCTTTTGACTCCAACCTTGCGTATAATTTCATCAACAATCTAAGTATTCCCGCCAACCAACAAAGCAACTTTAAATTAACATCATTAAGAAGATAGCTATGATTTTTCATTTAAATGATCGTAATTCATCTATTTTTTGTTTCTTTTTTAAAAAGAAAAACAAAAAAAAAAATTGTCCTAATAAATAATACTAATTTTTTCGCAAAAATTCTACATATTTGAAAAAAAAAATTTAGTAATAAAATAAAATTATTAAATTCTCGTCTATTAAACAATTAATTTTTTGGGTATTTTTTAGTTTCTTAGTAAATTTTAGTTTTTAGTAAATTTCAATTTTTTTTTAGTAATTTTTAGTTTTTAGTCATTTTTAAATTAAGGTTTAGTAGAAAAAATTGATTATAAATAAATTGGAAAAAAAACATTCGATATCAAATTTAGTCAATTGAAATTAATTTAGCTAAATTTTGAGAACTAAACTAAATTTTTTTTTTGACTTACTAAATTGAGTAAATAAATTGAATTAATTCTAATTATTAGAACTAAATTTATTAATTGTAAGCTAAATTAAATTTTGTTTCTTTTAGTAAATTTTTTACTAAATTTAGTTCACTGAAAACTAAATTTAATATATAGTGATCTAAATTTAGTACATGGAATCAAATGTATTATGTACATTAAACTAAATTTAGTATAATTTAATAACTTAATTTTTGATAACTTGAACTAAATTTAGTCAGTTTAACTAAATTTAGTACATTGAATTAAATACAGCGAAACTAAATTTAATGTAGTAAACAACATTTTTCTAAATGTAGTAAATTGGATTAATATTTGGAATAGAAAACTAAATTTGGTATACGAAATTAATGTACCGAACTAAATTTTGCTAAATTTAGTAAATTGAGCTTAATTTAGTATTGAAAACTAAATTCAGTGTACTGAACAAAATTCAGTGAATTGAACTATATTTAGTATATACGAAACTAAATTTAATGCACTAAAATAAATTTAGTAAATTGAACTAAATTTAGTAAATTTAGCTAAATTAAGTAAATCGAACTAAATTTACTACATTCGATTAAATTTAGTGTATTGACTTAAATTTAGCTAAATTTACTAAATTCGGCTAAATCTACTTAACTCCACTAAATTTTCCAAGTTAAACAAAAAATTTTCTAAACTAAACAAATATTTTTTTCAAAAAAAAAAAAATGAAGAATTTTTGCTAAATTAAAAAAAAATTCCATCGTTTTTTGTAAATTACAAAAAAAAAAAAAAGTTAATAATTTATTGTTTATTTTTATATTTTACACATTTTTCAACAAAAAGGTTCGAGAGACGCTTTTAAATAATAATATTACCTGCAATATTAAAAGTGAGTGGCTTTAATCATAACGTGCGAAAATGAAGTGTCGTGTGTGGTATTATATATATCGAGCAGATGTAGTTTGATTCTGTATTTCTAATTTATTCAGATAGCGTGTTCTATAGACGCTGTTATTATATTGACTGAGTCTTTCTCTAAAGACCGTAAAAGCAATGAATTTTATATATATATATATATATATATATATATATATATATATATATATATATATATATATATATATATAAAATACATAAAATATATAAAATATATAGATAATGTCAGCAGTCAATAAGGCATTTTGTAACTAAAGAACCTATTTCATTTTTTTTTCTTAAAAAAGAAAAAAAGTAGGTAAAAAAAATAGTAGAAATAGAAAAATCAAAAAAAAATTTTTTTTTGAAATTATAAAAAGAAATATTTTTATTTTGCACTTAAAATCAAACATTAATCTCTCGTCAAATTGAGGTTATAAAAAACATCTTTTTTTTAAATATTTAAAAAAATATATAATATATGTATGTAAATTTAAAATTTAAAATTATTTCCAATTAATATCACTGTAAATTGATTCAAAATTAATTTTTATAATTTTGTAATTATAATTATAATAATAATAATAATAATAATAATAATAATAAGTAATTTTGTAATTATAATTTTAATAATAAGTAATTTTGTGATTATAATGATAATAAATATTTTAATTATAAATTTACAATTAATTTTTTAATCATAATTACTTATTTAAATTTAATTTACTTTATTATTATTATTATTATTATTAAATTTTTTTAAAAAAAGATGAAAATCTCGATATAGACAAAAAAAATTATTAAAAAAAAAATGCTTTGTAATTTTTGTAGATAAATTTTAGTCATACTATATATATATATATAACTATACATAATATAGTTAATAAAATTTTCCCCTAGTCTTATAAACGTATTGTAAGACTGTCGATAGCTTCGAGAATGTGCGTCTGACCAAAAACGACTTTACTTACTTCTAATATATATATATATAGTTGCTGCGAGAAAAAAAAATAATAATGCACCTCTCTTTCTCCAATATTTTTTATGAATTTATTTTTTCACTTTAAAAATAGAGTTGAAACAAAAAAAAAACAGTTAAGACAATAAATATATAAAAAAATTTAATTTTTATTCATTGATTAATTCAATTAAATTAATTATCTAATTATTTATTAATTTACTAGAATTAATTAACATATTATTTGTTAATTTAATTAAAAAATTATAAATTAACAAAATTATTTTTCAAAAAAACTATTAATTCATTTTTTTTTTTTTGTTCTAAATAGTGAATTTTTTAAGGAGAAAAAAGGGGATTGAAAAATTGGTATTGTTGCGGAATTTTTTCGGTGAGAAAAAGTAAAAAGCTCGTGATAATATTTTATTTTTAAATAAATAAAAGTCTAGATTTAAAAATAAAAAATGAAGGAATCATTATATGAAAGGTGCTATTTCAATAAATAAATATATATTTATTTAAGAGTGAATTTTTTTGAAAACTAAGAAATTAATTAAGCAAAAAAAAAGCAAGCACAATGTACTGTAGATAGTGAAATAGTAAAAAAAAAAAAATAATAATAAAAAAATGTGTGATTGAATGAAAGAGAGATAATAATGAATTCCAAAAAAAAGAACGACCTTTTTTAAGTAGCTTCAAAAATATTTTACAACTGTATAATATGATGTATAAGATATATATATATAGGAAAAATTTCATCGATAAATTAATTTTCAATCAAACCACTGCTACAAAATCAAAAAAAAAAAAAAAAAAAAAACTATTTCATTAAGTGTGAGATTTTTCATAAATTTTCATTTTTTAAAAATCTGTTTTATTTTTATAAAATCATAAACATAACCTATAATTTTTTAAATATTTTATATTATATATACCTATATATACATAATATATACAATAAAATATTATATAATATATATAATAATATTATATTATTATTTATTATTATTATTATATTATAAAATTTATAAAAAAAAATTATAGGTTATGATTGTTTCACCTTGATTAAGGCTGTGTTTACAATGGACGTCTTATGTATACTATTAACATAAGCAGCCTATTGTGCACACAGCCTAAAAGTCCCTATTTTTATAATTTTGTAAATTCAAAATTATTATTTGTATTATTCATCATTAATATAAAACAACCTTTTTTTCTGGAAACCGCTTCACTTTTTTATCCTCTTTCTCGTCCTCAGTCATCTGAAACAAAATAAAAAATATATTATAATAAAACATTTAATCAAGGTAAAACTATATTATAAACATAACCTCTAATTTTTCCATCTTTAGAAACCTTCCTCTTTTTAATAATTTTTTAAATTACAAATTTTTTATTCCTAAAACAAGTAAAATTTAAAAAAAAAATCAGTTAATTACAGAAAAAGGAACATGGAAATGGAACGAAAAAATTATTAAAATCTTCATTGAAAAAATTACAATATTCCTATATATAGAAAAAAAAAATTGCCACAACAGTAAAACAAAAAATATAAATAAAACTCATAATACTATAAATGTAAAATTAAATTCGATATCTCACACATATTTATAATATTACTAAATATATACCAAGATGGAAATGTTGTAAATCTCTCGCCATATTATAAATGTAAATGAATATGGTTTATTTGTTGAATGTGCGCGCGCAGTAAAAAAAACGAAAAGATATGTTTTTTCATTTTAATGCGAATATATGCGAAATGTATATGTTGAATATAATATTTTTAATGTTTATTCATTGTTTTTTTTGTTTCTTTTTTTTAAATTATTTTTGATGTAGAAAGAAAAAATTAAATTTCGTTATATAATTACAAAAACGATATTACATATTGTACAAATTTCTGTTTAAATATAAGTTGAAAAAAAAGCGTAATATTTTTCACAGGTGTAAAACAATAGTAGTAATTTTGCTTTAATTTTTTTTTTACTGATTATTAATTAATAATTATTAATTTATATAATACATAAAATATATTTTTTTTTTTGCATCTCTTGCATTTTTTTGTTTTGCATTCGTGCAAAATTGCTACAATTGCTTTCCACACTCGTCGTACACATAAAAAGACATTGTATATTGATGTTTTTTTTATGTCACTGTAAAAAAAAATAAATGTTACATAATTAAATTTATTTCATTTTAATAAGTTATAAAAAAAATTGTTTTGTGTCGTTAATAAAAATGCAATAATGTGCAATAAATTTTTAATTTATTGCTGCGTTTTATTTATTCGCTGTGAATGTATGGAATAAAGGAATAAAAATACTTTCTCATTTATGAAGAGTATGTAAAAAAGAAATTTTTTTCTAGGTTATCAAAAAGAAAAGCAAAAAAAAAAAAATGGAAAGAAATTAAAGAAAATTAAATCGCAAAAAAAAACTAATGGATTTTTAGGATCAAACTACTAGACTGTTTCAATCTGTAGATTATATATATAAAAAAAATATTCTAGAAGGTTATTATATATAATATATAATGCGATTAGGAAATTATTTTGTTGATATATATATATTTAAAAAATATATATATAAATTATAAATGTATATACTTTTTTGGGTATTATTATTATTATTATTATATTAATTACAATTATTATTAATATTATTATTATAAAACACAAGTATTCTACGAATATAAATATAAAATAATTACTGCAATGTCATATATGAGTTGTTATTTATTTCTTATCCAAGTCGAATACTTTCTTTAAACTTACTGTTTGAGAATTTGACTCTGCCTAAACAACTTTAACGTAAATTAAAAAAATCAAAAAAAAATTTAATTTAAAAAGTTCTTTGCAATAAGATTTTTTTAAATATAGAAAATAATTAATAAGTGTTTAGAATGAATGCATCTAATTGAATATATATAATAAATTGAATTGAATAAATAATAATTATTATTACCATGTATACCTATATACGTTAATGGCTTACTTATAATATGTATAGTTGAAAGGAGAGAAAATCAGATAAATTGATAATATTGTTATTGAATAATTGAATCGAAAATCCCATCCATTAGAAACAACTCTAAGCTTAATAATTAATTAATTCATTAGTAATTACGTTGTATATATATATAGTCGTAATTCATTCCGTTACATTAGTCCAATACATAGGTTATATTAAAAAATTTTCTATATAGTCGTATTTTAAAAAAAATATTAAAAATAATAATCAGCCATTTTAAAAAACAAATACCGAAAACTCGAAAACCCCAAAGCGAATTCGATTGCAATTTTAATTTTTTGTCTCCGCCATATTGCATCCGCCATTTTGAATTTTGAAAAATACTTTGGATTCAGAATCCACGTCCCCGAATAAACCCCAATGTAAAAAGTTTTAATTTTTGAAAATTTTTTCCACTATTGTGATTTTTAAAAAAAAAAATTGTTTTGCCTTTTTGCAGTTTTTGAAAAAAGGTACCTTTTTGTATAAACAATTTATTTTTTAAGATTCTAGTTCAGTAGGACAAAGAATTATTTTAATAAAAAATCGTCTCTAATCACAATTTTAAAGTTTTAGGTATTATGTAAATTTTCCAAAATATTCAAAATGGCGAATGAATTTTGCTATTTTATCGATTTTATCCCGTGTAAAATGCGTCTATATATATATGGAAAGACAGACAGGTTAAGGGAAAACTGTTTACACTGACATCTGGTGACAACAATAGTCACTACGTTTTCAACGGTCGGTAATGTAGTAACATTTTTTTTATTATTCATCATTAATATAAAACAAACCTTTTTTTTGGGAACCTCTTTTTTGATCCTTCTTTCACGTTCACAGTCGAATCTAAAAAAAATTATATAATTTTATTTTTATATATGCATATAAGAAGTTACTAGAAACTATTTACACTAACATCTAGTGACTATAATGGTAACGTCAGTAAATTTCCAACGATCGGTATTGCAGTAACATTATTTTCATTATTCATCGTTAATATTAAACAAACTTTTTTTTCGGAAACTGCTTTCTTATTTTAATTCTCTTTCACGTCCACAGTCACCTGAAACAAAAAAAAAAGAATTATTATATTAATTTTTTAATACCTAAAAAAATGTTCAACCTATTTATCGACAGAGAAGAAAAATTAAAAAAAAAATTTCCATTCCAACACAGATGTCGCTCAATTGTTGCCACACAGACAATGAAATTGAGCTTGCGAAGGGTTGAGCCTCAGTGAAAATTATTCCATTCACTTCGTCATGTCTCGTGGTAACTCGGTCCGACGACCCGAGTAGGTCGTCGCGTACAAAAGAATATTGAGAGCGATCGGATGTCACAAGTGAATGTCATCAAAAAATACAAAAAAAAGATAATAAAAAAAACCAACATATATATATATATGTACACCTAATATCACTCAAATTTTAAATCTGTGTTTCCTCAATTCTTTCTATCGCAACATTAAATCGTGATGATTTTTAAAAATCCTCCAAAAAAAGACACTAAATAAAAAAATAGATATCGCGATTAAAATTTTTCGACGATAATACAAAAAATGTGTTGTGCAAAAATCGGCCATTTTGTGCCGGCCTTAACTGGAACAACGTGAATGAGAGTAAGTGAGATAGAGAGTGAGAGTTGAGAATTTCTTTGGTAAGGGGGTGGAGGGGGAAATTTTCTATAAAATAATTTTTAAAAAAAACTGATTTCATAAACTCGACAATAATTTTCCTATTTTTTTATTTACAAAAAAAAAAAAATTTGCAAAAGCGAAATTTTTTTTAAAATTTTTAAATTGACCAATTTTGGAGATTAAAAAAATTATCAGCCGGTATTCCGTTTTATTATTTAATATGAAAAAAAAAATCATTTGGTCACGCCTCTGATTGGTCGATACGAAAAAAAAATCAACGAATCCCCTGTGCGTGTGTGTTAATAAAAACATAATAGAAATATATATGTGGAGAAAAAAAAAAATACCGGCTTGTGTTCCGAAAGTGAGTTCTAATGACCTTCTCATCTCTGTTGGGTTGCATATACATATATATATATATATATATACATATACATATACATAAATACATAGATGCACTGTGAACGAGAATATATTATTTCTGAGAATCTTGCGCGCGACGAAACTATAATGAGAATTGGTTAATATTTTCTTATTTTTCAGTCTATATTTAAAAATATATATTTCACTGGAAAATAATTTTTAAAAAAATTTTATTTATTTTTTAATAATAATAATAATAATGTAAATTTGACAATTTTTCTTCCGATTAGTGACAATATTATTATTACTACTGGAAATTAAATTTTCTTTTTTAAAACACTATATTACTTTTTGTGCCTCAAGGACAGTAGATGCATATACATATACATACATATATACATAGAAGCTAACCTCTCACAGTAGTTTACATATATGTATTTGCGCTTTAAGATTGATCGAGAAGGTAAGCAGTTCGAGAAGATTACTTTTTAATAATAATAATAATAATAATAATAATAATAATAATGACAATAATGATAATGATAACATTGATGATAATGATAACGAATGACGGTAATGATAAAAATAATAATAGTATTAATAATGACAATGATAATAATGATATAATAATAATGACAATAATAATGATAATAATGATGATAATGATAATAATAATGATAATAATGATGATAATGATAATAATAATGATTATGATGCCTATTCTGATACTGTCAATAGCAGTAAACATAGTGATCTTATTAAATTTTTTCCGTTTTGCTAAAGAATTTTTTTTTTGAGGTTATGTCGAATATTTAATTTCTATGATTAAAATAATAAAATGTCGCTTATTATTTTAATTATCTAGTAATAAGCGACGTTTTATTATTTTAATCACAGAAATTAAATATTCGACATAACCTTAAAAAAAAAAATTTACACTATTTGAATTTTTTTTTTTTTTTAATATTTTTTATCCTTTCAATTATTTTCTAAACAAGAAAGATTAAAACACTGTCATTAGTCAAAAATAATTTAACGTTCACGAGTAAATCATAAAAATTTAGGTTAATAATGAAAATAATGACAATTGCGGACATAAATAGATACTAATAAATTTTCTCCAATGTTTCGAAATTAAAATTTTCATCATCATTTTGTTTGCAAAAAATATTTTTGAAACTCAATTTTTATTTTTTTTAAATAAATTTTAATGATAAACATAAATTTTTTTAATCAAATTTTTATATAGTATTTTTTTATTATACATTGAACTGCTCGATTTTTGATAAATTTTATTAGGATTAAAATTCGTTTAGCAAAAAAAATTATTAAAAATTAAAAAAATTTTTTTTTTTTTTAATATTTTCAAAAATTTTGTTTTACAATTAAGTATAAAAATTTTAATTGCGATTTCCTTTTATTAACGTAGAATCAAATTGCATATTGTCTCGATAAATTAATATTATCATTATTTGTTTACAAAGAATTATTTTAAAATTTTGTTTATTAATATTAATAAATAAAGATTTTTTTTATATACATTTTTTAATAAATTATATGTAATATATATTTTAAAATTTCGAAAATTTGCAAAGAATAAATATTTCACATTTCGGATGCTCTAGTTTTTAAAATTGTAGAATTGGCCTAATCACATTGTTTATCCTAAATCGTAAAATGTAAAACGTAAGAATAAGAGAGAGAGAGAGGGGGGGGGCAAAAATACTATATCTATCCTTTTCTATTTCATGTAAAAAAATTACGATTTATGTTTTACGATTTTATTGTGTATTTAGCCTAATTATAAAAATATTTACATAGTATTGATTTTTTTTCACCTTAAGGGTTTATTCACAGTTTAATCATTTTTTACTGTTTCACATTTCGGATGTTTTATCATAAAGGTACTTTCACACCTGCGCTCTTAAAATTATCAGGTTGCCATGGTAACTGATAATCAATAAGAGGAAGTGAGAGCAGGGTCAAATTCTCTATCTCTCTCTTACTTTTCAATATTACCATAGCAACCGTCAGACAAATTGCCTATTTACAGGCGTTTGACTTTAATTAACCTAAAATTAAATGTAAAAATTTTATTTTTTCCCTACCTTAAAGGTCCATTCACAGTACAACGGTTTTTTACTGTTTCACATTTCGGATGTTTTATCATAAAGGTGGTTTTACACTTGTGAAAATTGTTAGCTTGCCATGGTAAATGAAAATCAATAAGAGAACAAGAGAGAGAAAATCAAGTTGTCTGTCTTTCTTTTACTCTTGAATGTTACCATAGCAACCAGCAGACAGGTTGCCTATTTACAGGCGCTTGACCTTAATTAACCTAAAATTAAAGCAAAACATTTTTTTCTTACCCTAAGGGTCTATCCACACAAATTAATCAATATCGGTATAAAAAAAAAAACAAAATCATAAATTTCCTGTTAATTTCCGATTGGTTGAATTAGAAAAATATGTAAAACGTAAATTAATAAATAAATAAATAATAAAAAAAAATAACAATAATAATAGTAATAGTAAATAAATAATTAATTTTAAACTTAAATATTAACAAAAAAAATTTTTTTTTCTGTTTTAGAATCCGGAGCAAGGATAAGGGACGTAATTTAGTTGCGGAAAAATTTCCGTCATTCTTCTCTATATTGTCTGGACAAGATTTACGCAATTTTTCTCAAGGTCACAACATTAAATTCTTGTAAACAAAAAAAAAATAGCCCACAAGGTTCTTGCCAAGAGAGAGAGAGAGAGAGAAAGAGAAACACTCGACCTTTACATCTCAAAAAAAAAAAGATGAGCGAATAGATGAAATAATTAATTATTAATCATAAAACATAAAAGAATTTAAAAATCATGACCAAGGACCAAAGTGAGAGTTTAACACTCGAAACGGAAATGGATGATGTAAAATTATGCGATGTTGAGAAAAAATCATCGGTCCATTGTTCTCAACTCAAGCAGACAACAACAAATGGTAACGATTCACAGCCATCGAGTCCTGATTCAAAAAAATCTCCAAAGTCTTCCACAGAAGTTATTGAATTAATTGTGAAAAATCATGAAAAAGAATTTGATTCGAAAGAAGAAAAAATGAACAATAAAGATGAGAAAAAAATTGTAAATCCTGAGGATGAGGAAAATCTTGATAGTGGGGAGGATGAAAATATTAATTTAAAAATTGACAAAGATGAAGATTCCAATGAGGAGGTGAAGAAAGATGAAATTTTCGTGGAGGAAAATGTAAAATTACATCAGGAAATGAAAATAGATGAAAATTCCGTGAAGAATGAAGAAAATTTCGAGAAAATTGATGAAAATTCCGATAAGATTGATGAAAATTCCGATAAGAATGATAAAAATTCCGATAAGGGAGAAAAATTGCAGGTGGTTGAAAATCATCAGGAGGAGGTGAAACATAATGAAAATTATCAACAGGAAGTGAAAAACGAAAATATAAAACAGGAAGTAGAAATTAAAGAATCCAGTGGAAATAAACCAATAGAAGACGGTTCCAATGGAAGCGCACCAATCACAAGTGTCAACGACAAAAATCCACCAATAGAAAAAACATCTCTAGTAAATTCACCAAACACTAATGAGAATCAGGAGAAAAATTCACCAATCAAAGAACCACCAGTTTCTATTGAAAATACACCAGAAAAAATCATTGAAAAATCAGAAATTTCTCCAATTGACTCGAAATCAAATAAAATATCAACTATTGAAAATTCAGAATTAATTATAATGGAAAATTTTAGTTCAAAAAAAATAGAAAATTTACCATTACTATCCGATTGTCAAGTGGATAAAAAAGAAGAGAATATAAAAAATGAATCATCAATTACAATAATGGAAAAGAAAAAAATTATCGAGGATAATTTTAATAATATTGAAGAACCAAAATTTATTGTCGGTATTGTAGGTGAACCGACGGCAGTAACAGAATTGATAAATGACGATGAACTTGGCGCGGAATCTACATTACCGACCGATGATCATGTGGCTCAATGGGTAAAGGAATCTGCAAATGTCGATAATACACATTTTTCAGACCCGGACATGGATGATAATGATGATGAAGATGAGAACCATGAATCAATGAAGGAAACCATCACTGAGAGGAAGGTCAAAAGACAAGAATCCACGGAATTAACGTCGTCACGGAAACGTCGTCAAATTGTCAACCATATTATTAAGCGGAGCATTAAATGGTGAGTTTTTTTTTTTTTTTGAATTTATAAATTATTGGAAATTTGTTTTTTGTTCCATATTTTTTTTTTGTAGGAATTATAGAAAAATTTCTATTTATTTAACTGAATTGGAAAAAATTGACAAAAATGTTTTTTGAATTTTCCCGCGCATTTTTTAAATTTCTGCCTTTAGTAAAAAAAAAAATGGCGGGAAAAGAATTGGTGAAAAAAGATTAAAATTATTAAAGTGGTAATTTTAATTTAATGGTAAAAATTTTGTCCGAAACCAGCGGAAAAATTAGAAAAATAACGGTTTTTTTTTTTAAAAAAAGGCGGGAAATTTTAAGAAGCGCAAAATTCAAAAATTTAACGATTAAATTTGAAAAATGCAAAATTAAACTTTAAAAAAAAATTATTTGCGAGATAAAGAAAATTATTTTCAACCTAAAGAAAATTATTTTTAACCTAAAAAATTATTTCCAAGCTAAAGAAAATTCTTTTTAAACTTAAAAATTATTTCCAAGCTAAAGAAAATTCTTTTTAAACTTAAAAATTATTTCCAACCTAAAGAAAATTCTTTTCCACCTATAAAAATTTATTTTCCATCAAAGAAATTATTTCCAATCTAAAGAAAAAATTTTTTCAACCTAAAAAACATTTTTCAACTTAAAGAAAATTATTTTCAACCTAAAAAATACTTTTCAACCTAAAGAAAATTCTTTTCCACCTATCAAATTTATTTTCCATTAAAGAAATTATTTCCAATCTGAAGAAAATTAGTTTTCCACCTAAAATAATTATTCTCCACAAAAAAAAAATTATTTTCAACCTAGAGAAAATTATTTTCAACCTAAAAACAATTTTTTTATCCTAAAGAAAATATTTTGTACTTGAAGCAAATTATTTTTAACCTATAAAAATTATTTTCCACCAAAAAAATTATTTTCAACATAAAAAAAAATTTCAACATAAAAAAAATTATTTTGAACATAAAAAATTATTTCCAACCAAAAGTAAATTATTTTCAACCTAAAAAATTATTTCCAACATAAAAAGAAAAATTCTTTTTAACTTAAAAAATTATTTCTAACCTAAAGAAAATTATTTTTAACTTACAGAAAAGTATTTTAAACCTATAGAAAATTCTTTACAAATTCAAGAAAATAATTTTCAACCTAAAAAATTTTTTTCAACCTAATAAAATTATCTCCAACCTAAAAAAAATATTTTCAGTCTATCCGAAAATTTTCTTTCTGTTTTAGTTTGGAAATAATTTTTTTAGGTTGTTAATAATTTTCTTTAGGTTGAAAAAAACTTTCGGGTTTTAAGTTGAAAATAATTTTTTAGGTAGAAAATAATTTTCTTTACGTTGAAAATAATTTTTTTTTGGTGGAGAATATTTATTTTAGGTGGAAAACTAATTTTCTTTAGGTTGGAAATAACTTCTTTGATGGAAAATAAATTTGATAGGTGGAAAAGAATTTTCTTTAGGTTGAAAATAAGTTTCTTTAGGTTGAAAATAATTATTTAGGTAGAAAATAATTTTCTTTAGGTTGAAAATAATTTTTTTAGGTAGAATATATTTTTTTAGGTTGAAAATAATTTTCTTTAGGTTGATAATAATTTTCTCTAGGTTGGAAATATTTTTCTTTAGGTTGAAAATATTTTTTTAGGTCGAAAATATTTTTTAGGTTGAAAATAATTTTTTTGGTGGAGAATATTTATTTTAGGTGGAAAACTAATTTTCTTTAGGTTGGAAATAATTTCTTTGATGGAAAATAAATTTGATAAGTAGAAAAGAATTTTCTTTAGGTTGAAAAGAATTTTCTTTAGGTTGAAAATAATTATCTAGGTAGAAAATAATTTTCTTTAGGTTGAAAATAATTTTTTTAGGTAGAATATATTTTTTTTAGGTTGAAAATATTTTTTTAGGTCGAAAATATTTTTTTAGATTGAAAATAATTTTTTTGGTGGAGAATATTTATTTTAGGTGGAAAACTAATTTTCTTTAGGTTGGAAATAATTTCTTTGATGGAAAATAAATTTGATAAGTAGAAAAGAATTTTCTTTAGGTTGAAAAGAATTTTCTTTAGGTTGAAAATAATTATCTAGGTAGAAAATAATTTTCTTTAGGTTGAAAATAATTTTTTTAGGTAGAATATATTTTTTTTAGGTTGAAAATAATTTTCTTTAGGTTGATAATAATTTTCTCTAGGTTGGAAATATTTTTTTTTAGGTTGAAAATATTTTTTTAGGTCGAAAATAATTTTTTTAGGTTGAAAATAATTTTCTTTAGGTTTAAATTAAATTTTTAGGTCGAAAATATTTTTTTTAGGTTGAAAATAATTTTTTTAGGTTGAAAATAATTTTCTTGAGGTTGAAAATAATTTTTTTCAACCAAAAAGAAAAAAAAAATTTTTTTTTTTTCTTTTTTGTGAACACTTTTTCCCCAACGGGAAATTGATAAAAGTGTCGCGATGCCTTTGTGGTAATCATACGACTTCTTTCTTGGTGCTTTCACAATCAAGCGATCAAAGTACAAGGTCTCGTTTCCACTTGGTGTCTCATGTCATATGAAGAAAAAAAAAAAAAAAAAAATGATTTTTTATTGAATGCCACTGCGTTGGTTCACACATTGTGGCGCGTTATACGTTTTGAGATAAAGCACTTGAGAATATGACTTAGGCCGCGGAGGAGAGAAAAAAAAAATGAAGTCCGCGCGCAACATTTTCAAGGACAATAAAAGGTTAAATTTCATTTTATTCGTGAGAGATTTTCCAAAGTGAAAATATCTCGCGTGACATTGACGAGACAATTTTTTTTGACAAATTAGAGGGAATTTAAAAAAAATTTTTATTTTTTTAATTTCTTTTTAAATAATAGTTTTTTTTGCAATTAATATTTATTGAAGTAGGAAACATATATTTTTGAAAAAAAAATTTTTTTTTAAAAATATTGTAGGAGTAAATTTTTTTCTCTATCTCTCACTCTTTCTTGAAGATGTTTTGTATCGAGGTCGAGGTAACGTTCTGCTGCAGCTTGAAGTAGTCACAATAGAGCACAGCCGGTTACAACTTTGCGTGGTGATGATGATTCCAAATACGCTAAAAGCACGCACAACTGCTTATTCAATAAACTAAAATAATCCCAAGGTATCATCATCACTACATACATATATTGTATATATAATAATAAATATATTTCAAAAAGTAATAATTTCTCTGATAACCGGAAAATGTAAAATATTTTCCAACCCACACATCTTTTTTTTTTTTTATTAATCGTTTATCTTTCTTTGGCATTGAGCTAACAAATTATTATCAAGGAATAGAAATATTATTATCTGTTCATAAAACTACAAAACCGGTCATAAAAATACAAAATAGGTTAAAAAATACAAAATAGGTTAAAAAAAATACAAAAAAGGTAAAAAAAAAAATACAAAATAGGTCATAAAATAAGAAAATTGATTATAAAATTAAATTTTTTCAGTTCCACTTGAATTTTTTATTGAAAAAGAATATTTTTTTTTTGCAATTTGAAATATACTTTTGGTCATAAACAAATATACGGTCATAAAATTAATATTTTCAGTCTAGTAAATTTTCTTATACGTAATAGAATTTTTTTTTTTTATAAGATAAATTAACTTTGACATCAATACCAAAAAATTAGGGTCATAAAATACAAAGGGTCATAAAAAAAACGAAAGTGACGTGTGATGCGCGTTAATTTTGGAGGTTCTCAATTTTCAAGGACATTATAAAACCTCGTTCTATAGACCGAATTTATATACATATATATATAAATATATACATTCTAATATTCATTTATGTGTGTATTTCTCGAAAGAAATGAATACCCTACAACACCTCAAGGTCATGTCCTTGAACAACATTAACCTATGTAACGGAGATTTTAATGATACCATATGCAATATTCTATGACGTAATTATATGAACATATATACACATACTTCTTTTTGCTCCCTTGCACCTCATTGTTTGACTACTTTGCAAAAAAAAAAAAAAAAAAAATGTTATGAAATTTTTTTTTTCTAAATAAAAACGACGAAAAAATATTTTATTTATATCTAAAAATTATGTTTTCTGACCAAAAAGTATTTTTATAACGGAAAAGGATTTATATGTATATCTGAAAAATATTTTTTATGACCAAAATGTATTTTTTTATAACAAAAAAGTATTTTTTATGACTAAAAAGTATTTTTTATGACCAAAAAGTATTTTTTATGACCAAAAAGTATTTTTATGGTAAAAAAATGTATTTATATCAAAGAAGTACTCTTTATGACTAAAAAGTATTTTTTATGACTAAAAAGTAGTTTTATGACTGAAAAGTATTTTTTATGACTAAAAAGTATTTTTATAACCAAAAAGTATTTTTATAAGCAAATAGTATTTTTATAGTAGAATTATTATTTATGACTAAAAAGTATTTTTAGAATTGAAAAGTATAAATACTTTTTTTACCATAAAAATACTTTTTGGTCATAAAAAATACTTTTTAGTCATAAAAAATACTTTCCGTCTCGCTTTTTGGTCATAAAAATATATTTTAGTGATAAAAAATACTTTGTCGATATTAATAAATACTTTTTCAGTCATAAATATATAATTTTCAGCACTAAAAATACTTTTTGGTCATAAAAAATACTTTTTAGTCATAAAAAATACTTTTTGTCTCGCTTTTTGGTCATAAAAAATACTTTTTAGTCATAAAAAATACTTTTTGTCTCGCTTTTTGGTCATAAAAATACATTTGAGTCATAAAAAATACTTTGTCGATATTAATAAATACTTTTTCAGTCATAAAAAAATAATTTTCAGTACTAAAAATACTTTTTAGTCATAAAGAGTACTTCTTTGATATAAATACATTTTTTTACCATAAAAATACTTTTTGGTCATAAAAAATACTTTTTAGTCATAAAAAATACTTTTTGGTCATAAAAAAAACTTTTTGTCTCGCTTTTTGGTCATAAAAATACATTTGAGTCA